ATAAAGAGTTTGGAAGGAAAAAAAAATATAGGACAAGACACAGATGCAGCAGGACAAGCTAAATGGAGGGAGGGAACAAGACAGAAAACAGAAGTTTAATCTAGATGTGTGAGTACTTTTGCGTATCTAAGTTACACTTTTCCAGAGACACGTGATGATGGTGACCTTGCCCAATTCTCTCCTAACCAATTCACCCAAACACCAGCAGGCAATGCTTTCCCAGTTTCCTCTAAGTGAGTTCCATAGCCTGTGAGAAAAGTTGATGCTACAGAGACAGTAACTCATTCTCAGAAGTTGAGGAGACTTCATAGTCCAATCTTCTACCAGGAAGCTGTCCACCCTTGAGGACATGCAGGGTACCAATCTGTGCCCAGATGGTGCCAGTTCGTGCTAGCTTTCTATGCAATTGAGATGCACTCAAAGAGATCACTAACAGTGCTAGTACATATAAACATAACGCTCTGAATTTCTCTAAATGGGTTTCAAAACATTCAGCTCACTCAATCAGGAGCTTCTGAATAACATTCACAACCATGTGGGAATTAATGATCTCTGTTATACTTAAAAATCCATTTGTCACAGTTTTTCAACTGCTTCATATTTGGAACCTAATACTTCCTTTGTGAATAACATTTATTTGACAGCCTGATGTTAAATCTTTTCATTCAATTCTTGCCTGACCGCATTTGTAAAGCACTTCCCTTCATGTTTAAGGAAAGGATATGAAAGCCATGAACCAATGAAAAACAGAGATAGACCTCTATTCCTGCACAAAATAAAATATTCTGTCTCCCTCTACTGGCTCTGCATTAAAACAAACCTGGAGGAGGAAAAGAAAACTAGAAAGCTAATGCTTATTCTTATCTTAGAGAAATTTATACAGGATGCTATGTTGCATTAGCAGGAGAATAATACTTTAATCATAGTTTCTAAACAAGTATTACAACAGACAGTACTAAGAGTCTTTCTGAACATGGCATGAAACCTATTTAAAGTTATTATAGGTACATAGCACCATAGCTATACAGCACCAAATTAGTGATATATTTGGGAAATTTTCTACTAAAATTATTTCTTCATTAAAAATACAAGAGAATATTAATGAACTTTCTGTTACTATAGCTTCACCTTATTTTATATTGAATCAGATTTAAGCATTCCTGGTTGCCTCCAGTCAGAATGAGTTACAATTGAGCTGGATGATTTTAATTCTAAATCATTTATAGATATATAGATGTTTTTAGTTTGGGTTGTTGGGGGTTTTTTGTTTGCTTGTTTTAATTAAAATGACAGGCAAGGAAATTTTGTGATTCAAGGAACTTCTGGTTTGCAATTCGATCAGTCAGAACATATTTAGTAACATAGGCGAGCTGTCACTGTATACAATACAGGGAGATAAAAGACAGAAATGCCTTTTGCATATTCTTTAGATGACAACTGCAAAACCTTAATTTATTTTTTTACTGAATTCTGCTTTTCTCAAATGATATAATTAGGTGCATAAAGCACCCTGCTTAGTTTTTAAGGTGAACTTGAAATAGTTCACAATGCCCCAGAACAAACTTATATCTTCTTACCCTGAATAAGTCAAAACCACAAGAGTAAGAGAAACATGTGTCATGTTTGCCATGAGGCCATCACTGTGATTTCTCTCTTACTGATTTTCTTCATTGGAATATTTTATTTAAATTTGGGTAAAAAATCATTCTTGAAATGAAACTGGTCAGTCATATATCTTACAAACCAGAAGTACAGCAGAGTGTACTGATTTTATCACATATCCAACAGAACAATTAATCCTCCCTCAACAGAGCCATAGCTGTTCATGCATCTGACTAAAATACATTTCACTATGCAGTGAATTTTATTTTCTGTGGTGATACCTATTTGCATGCAAAACAGCATCACCTACCAGGGACAAGGATCAACAGCGTAATGAGAAACACAGTAAGTTATGAAGTTGTCCCCGGCAACTGCTTGTTCCTCCACATTTACTCTATCCACTCAGGGGTTCAAATGCTGCAGGCCCTGTGCTGGGTACTGGTGCTTCTGGAAGACAAGCAAATCATATATGGGCTCCCAAAGCTGCCAGGAGGGAGACAGGGGCAGGCCTCTCCTCTGCACTCAGCAGAGACCAAGAGCCAGCAGAGGTCAAAGACTGAGCAGTGGATGCCTCCCTTTGTGGGCTGTAAAACGCACAGACCCTGAGCTTTCAGATACTGAACACAGTTTAAAGCATACAGTTTTTTAAACAGTACCTGTTTTTTTCTCTCTGTAAAAGCAGACAAAAGCACGATAGACATTTCAGCAGAAAATAATCAATCAAATTTATCAGCCCTGTAATTTCCAAACTAACTTTAGTTACCCTTAAGAGTTACTTTATCAAGCAGTATTCAAAAAGGGTCTGACATAACTTCATGAAAAAGTATTTGTTTGCAATTGGACTGTACAGATTGCTTAAAGGTAGCATTCAAACGTAAGAATGTGAACTTAAGGTTAATTAAAAACTAGAGTTCTAGCTCTACATAGAGATTTCACTATGTGGGAGAAAAAATTCCCAGTGTGACAATAGTATAAACATACCATGAAACTCTATATAAATCAGGTGAAGAATCACTGAGATTTTGAAACATTAGAATTAATGTTAATGCAACTCTAAGAAATTTGTCACTTCTACAGAATGTCAAAATGTTAATGCTCAACATGAAAGCACATTATAAAGCTTTATAGCACATAACATTATGCTGCAAGTATTTACCTTCATCAGAAAAACCTAGAACAATGAAAACTTCAGGAAATTAGTAATGCTTTGAATTTTTTAAAATGAGAGGGTAGTCTACAGAATATTTAGTTTCCATGGGTTTTAGTGAACAGAAAAACTCTTACATTTTGTGGCAGAGGGGGAGATATGCAATTTTTAATGTTATATCACATTAAATGTTCTTTTTTTTTTAATGGTTAAGAAATGAGAAGATAGATCTTTCCACTGTTAGTGTAAGGTTTGCGGAAACTTTAGAACTTAACTACATATTCAGGCTACTCTAAATCATTTCTCCCATGCAGCCACTTCCACCACCCCCTGAAGAAACTGGAAACAGGGAACTGCTACAGAAAAGAAATTAGTTTACCCCATCCCCTCTCCAATTTGACTCATTATATTCCAACACAGGGATACCGCTACACAGGAAATAGTAGAAAGACAAGAATAAACAGTTGGAGGGAAGAAGATCAGTGGTGCCGGTCTTTGGACAGGTGGTATCAAACATTGCCTCAAAGGCAGGATTACCAGGAAATTTCAAGTTATACATCCTACAGCAAAAGCTTATTATACAGAGAATGCAAGAATGTTAGCACATCTACACTGAGCAATAAAAACACAGTTTTGATCTATTCCAAAGCAACCGCAGTTATCAGAAGTCGTTCAACATATCCCAGTGGCTTTGGATTAGACATTAAAGCAAGAAGAAACTAAGTTTTTGGTGCTGTGGAATACATGCATCCAGTTTTTGAGAAATATAAGCTGAAAATCACCACTATGTTAATATGATATATTAATAATTAAAATATCTCACTCGAAGAGATGTAATTCACAAATATACACAGTCTTAAAAAACCTGCATGCATATGCATGGATATTAAGCAATTAAACATGTTACTTCAGCTATCTCAGTTGTTACCAGCACACCATAAACATAATACCCCATTAATTTCAGTGTAAAGTGGTACCTGAAACTTGCAAAATCACATTCATATTTAGGATGAAATCCACATCCCTTTCAGTCAACAACTTTTTACCTAATAAATGAGACTCAGACCTCCAGAATTTACAGTCAAATGCTCTAAATACTTAAAACATATACAAAATTCAAGAAGTCTCATTTAAAAGGAGACTACAGTATATGCTTATGTGCTAAAGGCACTGAGAACTTGGTTATCAAACTGATGTTAATAAAAAAAAGTTTTCGAGAAGAAGAAATATGCCTATGTAGCAAATGATAGCCAAGAATTTACATGCCAGGTTTAAGTAAAACAAAAGAACACTTTTAAACGCTTAACAGTGAAGTTTCAAGTTAATAGACAAACCCTTAACTAAACTACATTAGCACATGCCACTACAGTAAAATTCTTTTAACAAAATTTTTACATGCATCTCAAAGCTTCTGCAGACATTTTTATGAAAAGACCATGCTTTATTTACTGTACCTGAACATTTCTGTACCTGTCACGCTGCATGTTAATGGAAAAATAAGACAGGGAATATTAGGTTATTTTCACATGTCCTTTCTAAAGGCATAATTCCTATTTATTTTGACACGTGATGTTACATGCAGCTTTACTTTAGCAGAACTATTGAAAGCACTTCAGCCTATCTTAAGATGACAACTTTGCCAAGTCAAATAAAAAGGTTTCACTGTTCTGGAAGAAAAGATTAAACAATTAAAGAGTAACATCTCTCCTCCTTCCCATGCACTCTCTCAGAACCTCCCAAAACACTGGTACTGATAAAGGGGTTTGAGGGAAGTAGGCTTGTTTTTACTAATACTCCTCATCTTTGATCAAGTTGATACAAATGAGTTACATGCTGTTAACAATGCTCTGGGAAGACAATTCCATATGCTGTCTATAGCTGCAAGTGAGAATAGTTTCCATTTCTAGCATCTCCCTTGTAACGCTATGAAAGCAGACAGCTCCACACAGCAAGCACTCCAAAAAAATTCAGCTCAGGTTTTCTGTTTTAATTAAAGCTGAAAAAGCCTGGCAGACAAGCTACAGTGAGGGTGCCACAGCATTACACACAGCTGAGGCTATGGCAGCTTACCCAGCCGAGGTAGTTGAACATTGACTGTTTCCAGGTGCCACTGACATCACTAAGAGCCAGTCACATCTAAGAAATAGCAAAGCCTGGCCTCTTGACTTTAAATGAAGTGTGAAGGCTTGAATGAAATACTGCCCATGTTAATGAAATAAACTACTTACACTAGCACACAGAAAGTACTTACACCGTTTCTGGGAAACCGCCTGCAAACAAGCTGTAACAATGTCGCAGTTCTTCTGGACTTTTTGTACAAGCCTGTCTTTCTGCTTCAGAAGACGAAGCAACTTTGCTGATTGAATAGAAATCCTGTAATTCAGTTCTTGTTTTATAGTTGTTAATTCATCAACATCTGCCAACAAACAGAGAAAACAACTTCAGTACAGGCCAAAACACTTACAAACAGCCCATTGTCGTTGATGTACAAAGAGACTTGCCCCGTGGACATGTACATGTACAAGCTTTCTATAAATTACAAGTTCTATTGACTGGGGTAATTTCCAACTATAAATATTTTCAGGATCTGAGCCAAAGTCTTTAATTTTCTTTTAAACTAAAGTACTTCCATTTATTGCACAGTGTATGAATCTTACTAATTATGCTATTATAAATTCATAGGATTGTGACAGATGTAGCCAGAATATCCAAAAACGGTGCAACCAGGGAGTAAATTTTAAATACAGTATCTTCAAGAAGCTGCCTGTGTGTGGGGAATATGTGCATTCGTAACAAAGGAACACCTTCAAGAAGGTGCCTGCAAAGCTAAAAATCCAAGTCCAGAATGAGTGCTAAGTGGGAATCTCCACTAAGACGCAGCTGGACAGCTTCAGTCAAGGCCTCAGCTATTTCCACTGGTCAGTCACATTGTCCCCAAACCTCCCTCAGTTCACCAAAATGTCTCAGCTTACTTTTAATATTCCTATTGCCCCCCATGTGATATGTTTCAGGTCCAGAAGAGGGAGCTGTTGGGGAGATATCTTAAATCCATGAATTTTTCTGAGTCCTCTGCTCTGTTGTCAGAGGCTCAGCCCACCAGTGAAATCCTGGATCTTACCTATCACATGCTGACCTCTTCAGCTCTTCCCTATAATAGCCTGGCACAGCTTGTCACCAGCATCTACACAGCTGTCTGCTCCCTGCAGCTAAATTTTCAAATCCTATCACTTTCAATGCAACCATGCCCCCCTGATGCTGGAAGGAAAATCAATGCAAGAAATCCATACTTCGGTAACCTGATCTAATGAGAAAAATATTTATGCACCCAGAAAAAGCTACTATTAGTGGAATGGTAAACAGCTCAGCTCATGTGGCAAAACTTTTTCAGTAATTCTGGAGAGCTTAAAGAAAAGGACAAACTGGGCTGAAATGACCATCAATCATGGGCTAGTGAAGAGCAAAGCATGACTGCAAGGGGAGTGGAACCAGTGGTAAACCAGTCCTGTATTTTATAGACACTACCCCGTCTCAGCACCTTCTCTTCAGCTGGAACTCCCAATCACTGGTACCAGGCAAGGGATTTAATAATAAATCCACGGATTCTGAGAGCAAAAAAATTAATTTGCACTCCTATTGACTTCTACTGTCACCACACAAGCAGTGAGCTGAGTTTTCCTCGTTCTCACTCATGCCAGTTAGTTGTCCCTGTAAGAACAATTAACTTTGCAGCAAAAGTAATGAGCTGAAATACTGCAAAATATATTCCTCAACAAGCAAGGGTTTTTCGAGTCCCAAGTTGCTATAGGACACACAGAAGAACTTGAGCTACATCCTAGTAACATCAGATGCTGTCTCATCTCATTAAGAAGCCAAACACGGAAGCAGACAGTTGTTTGCACAGGTCTGAAAAACAGGCACTTTTATTCACTTTTTTTTTTTTTCCCCTCCTCATCAAAAGCAGGAATGATTAAACATCAGGAGACAAGAGGCCTTTGTGCAGCCCTCTTCATCTGATCAACTTGGGAGTTGCAAACATGCTCTGTTGAGGTTCCTTAGCTTTCAGGATTCTTTGAAAATTTCATTTAGATTTTGATTAATTGACTATAGCATTTACACTTTTTATTACACTTATTTCTTTTCTGGAAGACATGCCAACCTGCAAATACGCCTTACAACTGTCTGGTTTAGTTTAGGTCCACTAGAACTAAAGAGACCTTAAAAAAAACCTACCTCCTATGACACCTTATGCATAGCATGTCTTCTAGATAAAGGGGAAAAAAAAAAAGGAAATAAATTAAAACTAGTCACTGATTCATTACTGTGAGGAAAAGCACTGAACTCGCAGAAACACAAAAGCTTGTACAATCTGTCACAGAAATTAATAGCAGGTGACACCACTTTTGCTCCTACAGCACCTGGAACAATGGAGGAACAGCACAGGAGGCCCTGGTCTGAAGGAGCTCTCAGCTAACAGCGCACGGGAAGCTTCTGGGAGCCATGGCCATGCAGAAAGGCTGCTACAGCGAGCGGAGAGCACGCTTGAGCAGGGCTCCCGAGCAGGCAAAGAGGGAAAGCGAGGAGGCAGGGGCAGCTCCCGGCCCCGGCAGCGCAGTGCAGGGCAGGCGGGGCGGGCTGTACCTTTCAGCCGCAGGTACTTGACCTGGCTCGGCCGCTGCTGCAGCTCACGGAGGGCGCGGGAGCGGGCGCTGCCGGCGGGGGCGGCCGCCTCGGCGGCGCTGTACAGCTCGGTGAGCAGCCCGCTCACCAGCGATGAGGTGCGGCTTGACCGCCCGCTGCCGGGACACCCCTCGTCGTCGTCCTCCTCCTCCTCCTCGGCCAGGCTGTCGGCACTGCTCCCCGCCCTGCCACACACGCCGGCCTCCCCCGCATCCATTTTCCACGCCGCCGCCGGGTTCCGGGCCCAGCCCGTTCCACAGCGACACGCCGGAGTGGGGCGGGCAGGGGAAGGGGAAGCGGGCAGGAAAGCCCAGGCGGGCGGGGCGCTCCCCCGCCGGCAGGAGCGCCGCACCCGGCTCCGCGGGCACAGGCTGGCGGAGAGGAGGGCGCTGCACCTGCGGAGGGGCGGGGGGCAGCGACCTCGCCCCGCCTCGGGGCGGTGACACTGGGCGCGGTACCCGGGCACCATCGTCCTGCCCGCCGTCCTGCTCCGCTTCCAGCTGGAGCGGCGGCCTGGTTCTGCGGCAGTTCAGTACCTGGGCTGCGGCCGGTCCCCGCAGCACAGCCTGCGGCCCGGAGCACACGGCTCCGTCTGGGCTCGCTGGGCACCGATGGTGCTGCAGGCGGACCGGCCACAGGCGGGGCAGCCGCGGTAATTCAGGTCAGGAATGCACGGAATCGCAGAATGGGTCAGGTTGGAAGGGACCACAGTGGGTCAAATGGTCCAACTTCCCTGCTCAATCAGGGCACACTGCACGGGAGCGCGTCTAGGCGATTTTGGAGTATCTCCAGTGAGGAAGTCTCCGCAAACTCTCTGGGCAACCTATTCCAGTGCACGCACAGCACAGAAGCTCTTCTCCGTATTCACGTGACACTTCCTGTGCATCAGTTTCTGCCCGTTGCCTCTTGTCCTATTGCTTGGCAGCACCGAGAGGAGCCTGGCTCCATCCCCCGGCACCCGTTCCATAGGTATTTACACACATCGCGGCCCCGGAGAGCGAGGGTCCCAGCTGGAAAAGGCCGCTCCGCGCAGCCCGGGGCGGGGCCGGGCCCGACGGGGCGGGGCCGGGGCTGTCGCCCGGGCCACGTGACGCCCCCCCCGCGCTCCCGGGTCATATGCCGCGGGCGGGGCCGGCCCGCGCGCTGCTGCTCCGGGTCCCGCGGCGGCACCGAGACCCCTGCCCGTCCCGTCCTGGCCCGTCCCGTCCTGGCCCGTCCCGTCCTGGCCCGTCCCGTCCCGGCCCGTCCTGCCGCTATGGCCCCCGCCCTGCTGCTCCGGGGGCTGGCGCTGGCCGCGCTGCTGGTGCTGAGCCCAGCGCGGGCAGCCCGGCAGGCGCGGAGGCCCAACGTGGTGCTCATCCTCACCGACGACCAGGATGTCTGCCTGGGCGGCATGGTAACCCAGCCGCGGGGGGCGCGGGGCCGGCGGCAGCGCGGCGAGGCAGAGCGGGACTCGCCGCCGGGGCGCATACGGGGCTGTCGGGCGGCGGGAGCGGGGTCGGGGGCTGGGCTGGGCAGGGCGCGGGGCCGGGGTCGCTCCGGCCGCGAGGGGCGGCGGGCTGGGCCAGGCCCGACACTGGGCAGGGGCTCCCGCGGCCTCCGGCCGAGCTGCCCCGCCGAAGGAGCGGCACGGTCGGGCTTCTGCGGCTGGGATGAGCTGCTATGCAGAGCCATTGGGGCTCGATTGGGCCGGGGGGGCATGGGGCGTCTCCCATGCAGCCCCTGTGGGTACCCCTAGAAAATCCCCGCATCTCTGCTCCCTTGGGCCCACCTTGCACAACCACTGTGGCCGCTCCAGGCCCCGGCAAGAAGGAAAGAACGCTTAGTGTCTTGCCTGCGTGGTGCCTGAAATCTATGGCTGTGGGACTTCTTTCACGTAGCCTGCTTTAAGTCCCCTGCTTTACTTGGCATCCTTGCCTTTTTAGCTGACACCCTTTGGGTATTTTTCTTCCAGACCCCCCTGAAGAAGACTAATGCTCTCATTGCACAGATGGGAATAACCTTCCTAAATGCAGTAAGTGTTCGCATTAATTCTCTGAGCTTCTGAGGTTGCATGCATTTGTGTACTCTCTATCTTGGGTCATCTGAGGTCTCAAAGCTGGTAATAGTTTTATGAAACCTGTACCTATGGTTGTAGGGTTTTTTTAAATTCAGTCTCGAACTACTTTTAGGTCTCTGAATATAACTTAAGGTCATGTTAAAATCTGTGAAGGAAAGTTTCACTTCCTGAATACACTTGTGCTAACTTCCTTTAACTGTAAAGTAAAACTGCGTAGTCTGAATATTTTTATTACAAACTGAGAAGCATTAGAAGTAGCTACTTGAAACTTTCATCAGCTTCATGCACAATGAAAATCCATTTCACTCTTTTCATATTCTAGTGTGTCTCTGTGGCTAAAATAGTGGAGTGAGTCTATGGGCAATTGCTCCTGTGTAAGAACCATGTCTAATCTTGCATTGAGGGGTTGAAGGGCACGTGCTGCGGAGACCTGAAACTGGTTTCATGTGTAGCTTTTCATTAGTGAAAATATTTGGAACGTAATTCTGTCTGTCCAGAAAGAAGTAGGTTTTAATGTTGATGAACATCTTAATCAACCTGTTAGCTGATAGTTAAAAACTATAAATTTTGAGATTTTGTTTTACTATGCCAATCTTATCTCTCTTCATTCTGTTTTTCCAGTATGTTCCCAGTGCACTTTGCTGTCCCAGTCGAGCTAGCATTTTAACAGGAAAATATCCACATAATCATCATGTCGTCAATAACACTCTGGAAGGGAACTGTAGCAGCAAGTTATGGCAGAAGATTCAAGAACCATATACCTTCCCAGCGCTACTCAAATCTATGTGTGGTTATCAAACTTTTTTTGCTGGAAAGTATTTAAATGAGGTATTTCATGACTTTTTTTTTTTTTAGTGTTACAGTTTATTTGCATTTGTCTATCTTTCTAAACATTCTGTGATTTTTCTATTTGGTGGGTCCACAAAGTGTATAATATGATGTTACTTGGATGAATGCTTCTCTTTGCTCAGAGGGGATAAATACAATGGAGAGTTCAGATCTCTAATGTGATTAAATTCAGGTTCTGTAGATATCAGAATGTTTTTAAAGTTGATTTTGAAATTGACTGATGGAATTGATTTTTGATGGAATCCAAAAGCTTTTTTTTTAGTCTGTTCAAATGTGTTAATTTTTAGAGATGATGATTTTAATGACTGGAGGAAATGGATAGATGATTGGCATGTGGTACTGAAGAACCCATCAGACCAATGCCAGACCATGCATGATGTTAAATAAATTAAAAAAAAATATTTGATTAGATATTCCTGATTGACATATCTTCTTGCATCAGAGGACTATTTTGTTTTGGCAGTCAATATGATATTTTAAAAATTAAGTGTCCACTGAGGTAAATTCATTGGGAGGACATATTTTCAGAGCTCTTTACAGTAGTTACCCAGCATTTAATCATTAAATCACTTTTATATGTGTGCTTTTGGTTTTTTCTCTTTTTAGCTAGATTATGGTTTCTAGTAGTTTATGGTAAGATGTAAAATTCAGCACTGAAAGCTCTAAGATTAGGTATTCCTCTTGTGTGATGGAACTGGATTTGGAGCTAGATGAGTTACAGGGTTCTTAACAGCATTATTTTCCTTGCATCTCTTGGTGGAAAATGTTGGTGGTATAATAGAATAATGGAACTTGAATTTTGGTAGCAATGCATGAATTTGTTTCTACTGATGTTCCTGAGGCAGCAAGGGGAAGGGAAACTTAACTGTCTTTCTCTGAGCATCCCTTGACTCAGCAGAGTCTCTCATCCTTGCAGTTAGGCAAGCCATGAAGATGGGAGAGGGCAGCCCTGAGAAAACCCATTGTGTTGCTCTGAGGCACCCTCTGTTTTGAGTTTGGCACTGACTGAGCAGCTACTTTCCCTTTTTTGCTGTCTTAAAGGGTAGTTGTAGATTATTTGGCACTGAGGTGATTAAGAGGCCAGCATTGCTTCAAGTTCCTATCCCCTTTTGTGGAGAATGAAGGAAGCTATTGGTCTACACGAAATTTTCTCTAGTGTCTTGTGAACTACTGTCACAAAGCCTAAGACTGCCATGTGGATATTTTGATCACTTCTCATTACCTGATGGCGTACCATATGTTCTCCAGGATTTCTGCATATTTTCACAAGAAAATAGAGCAGGGAATAACACTTAAATTTTATTGTGATTACCAAGCTTTCAGTTACTGTCTTTCTAGTTATTGAACCCTGGTTTCTTTAACAGGCTCTACGTGTGGTTTTATATGTGTATATATTTGGGTTTTCCCCATTCTGAAATTGAGTTTGTCCTAACATGGTTTCTGACTAGTGTTGAATAAAGCACGTGAATATGAAACATAATTTCTAGCTTTTATTCATCATAATTGAAACTGTGAGTCATGGTCTGTCTTTTTGCAGTACGGGGCAGAGGATGCAGGGGGAGTAGGTCATGTCCCTCCTGGATGGAGTTTCTGGTATGCTTTGGTATGTGATTTTTTTTTTCTTTTATTTAAATACTTAATTTTGCTCGTAATCCCATTTGGTTTTGCAATCCTAGTTGAATTCTAACTTTGCTGATTATGAAAGAGCAGGCAAAGAGCATCTGACAATGCAAATTTTCTTCCCTTTTTTCCTCTATTGCACATCAGATCCTTGGCTTTCACAAAGGCTACTCCTACTGAGTGCCTGGATAAAAAGCCTAGTTTTTAAAGCCAAAGCAGTGTGAGATAGCACTAAAATAAGTTTTGTTGTTGGAGACTTCTGAGAATTCTTGCAGTATCCTTATGGCAAATGCTCATAACCTATTTGACAAATGTTTGTGGGCAGCTCACTTCAACTACTTCAACTAATCATTGTACATGTTATTTTGTGTAAGGATCTGTGTAACTTTTTTTTCCACAGGAGAAAAATTCAAAGTACTACAATTACACTCTTTCAGTAAATGGCAAAGCACGAAGGCATGGTGAGAACTACAGTGTAGATTATCTGACAGATGTCCTGGTAAGAAATTTTGCAACGTTTGGTACAGAAGCTGCTTATGAGCAGATAATACCTCATGCTGAGGGCTTGGGGAAGGGTGGGATGATAATTTGTTAGGCTGTATTACTTCATACATGCACAGCTGTGCTGTCATGATGGTGGGTGGGCATTAATTAGCAGAGCAAGATTCTGAGTATATTTAGAGGTGACGTGCTTGTGTTTGAGCTCTGGAGAGGAAAGGGATTCCAGCTGCCTGTTTGTCAGCTGTAGCCTAACCAAGAGGTTAATGCTTACTGCTGGGATGCATGAGGAACACATAGGCAGTGATTTAAAGTACTTCATAAAAGGATATGTTTCATTATATATATGTATATATATGTGCATCTTCTGCAACAGATTAACTGGGCCAAGATTTCAGTAGGAAGTTAAGCATGTAAGAGTAGCTTTACAGCTTGTTTTGTTTCTTAGGCATTATGATGTGTTAGTGTTTTGTAATCTCCAGCTACATCAGGCTGATAACTTGGAATATCAAAGACTAATCAGTCCTTCATAGTATGAGAGGGCAACGTGTAGCTGACCCAGGGAGTTTGTCGCATCTTTACTGAGATAGAGGTAACAAAGGTTTCAACAACTTAAAGGAAAGTTGGAAGAGTTACTTTAGCTCTTGTAAGGCCCTATTTGGCAAGCAGTAGTAGCTGGGGGGGAAAGGGAGGATGTTCTCCCTTCCTACCAAGCTGGAGTCATAATTTGACTCACTGTTACAGTGTATGAGTTGGTACTGCTGGGGTCTCACATGCAGCACTTGAAAAAGTTCTTCTCTGAGATATCTCCTCATGCAGTCTTGTAGTCTTTCATGGAGACCCTGAGGAGTTTCATTCCAGTGGATGCTAGAACAGGCAACTGCTTACTAGCAACAGCACTGATTGATATTTCCTAGGGTACTAAACAACTGTCTGATTAAATTTAGATTTACGTCGTCTAAAGCTAGATTGGAATTGATAGGCCAGAAGTGAGACTATCCTATTACTGGCATTGTACTGGTTTTTTTTTGATCCTTCAGCAGCTCGTAAGCATTTTGTCCAACAGGTCATTGTTGCATAAACCGCTTACTTGTGGTATGTTATCTATTGACACAGCAGTGTATTATGATTTTCAGTGTATTGCTTTCTACTTTCTGCCTGTAGTTACTAAACATGTATTCAGCAGTTCAGAGCCAGTGTTCAGGTTTAATTCACTTGTGTGAATTAAGTGCACAGGAATAAATTGTTTATGCAAAGTTCCTGTGTTGCTTGATGTGAAGCACAAGCTTTGTTGTCCTGACTAAGGGCATCTGAATCTTTCTACTGCAGTCCTCACATGTTGCAGTTTAAACTCCTATTGAAATCAAAATTGGCTACCTCTGTGAGTTTACCTACATCATACTGGTTTCTGAATGGTTCTTACCTTCCTTAACTCTCTTGTCGTATAACTGAAGTCGAGCCCTACTTGCTTAGATGTACAAGTTAGGAGGAAGGAAGAGGGGGAATTCCTAATGTATTGGGTTTTTTCTAGAAAAAGAAAAAGGATATCCAAAATGGGGTATACTAATCAGACAGGAAAGAAAAGTGCTGCAAGATTTGAATACTGAAAAACTCATTTATGAGTAATATCTTTGAAGCTTTAATTTTAAAGGCTGACCAAGAGAGGGCCAAAATGGAACTCACAATTTCTTCTAACTTGCTACTTGAAACTGCGCATAGGCTGAAATGAAACTGAAAGTGCAGTGAAGTGGCATGAGCGAGTGAAGTTTGGCACTGTTCTTCACCAGACCTGCTGTCTTCACGCCTTGTAATCTAGGAGCTTACTGCAGAATGAGTATATGCTGTAAACAGTGGGGCTGAAATTATTTCCCAGAACTATTGCTATTTCTGAAGACAATTGAAGCTGCTGAACTGGGACCTGTCAAACAGCAAATGACATCTAAAAGCCTTAGAAGGATTCTGATTGTATTAAAGAAAGCTCTGATGTTACTTGATAAAACCTGTTTAGGTGAATTCTGTTGATATTTGGAATAGACACAAACTTCTGATGAGCTTTCCAGGTTTAAATAATGCAAAGTTCTGAAGCAGAAAGTTTTTCAGAGATGTGGGACAAATTATTTGTTTAATATGAGCGCTTGGGATTATTTTTATCATGAGCTGCTGTTCTAGACATTTGTAGATGAGCAGACAGTAAGTTTTTTAAATAGTTTAAAAGTTCCCAGTATACTAAGCTCTAAATAAGTTACAAATGTTTAATTTGGATTTTTGAAATACTTACTGTTTTCCTTTGAGGCATGACTTCTCTCCTCCAACAACACTGTTTGCAGGCCAACATGTCACTGGACTTCTTAGAGTACAAATCTAATTTCGAACCTTTCTTTATGATGATCTCAACCCCAGCACCACACTCCCCTTGGACACCTGCTCCACAGTATACGAAGAGCTTTCAGAATGTCAGTGCACCAAGAAACAGCAATTTTAATATTCATGGAAAGGTAAGCTAAATATTTTAATATTCATGGAAAGGTAAGCTAACTAGCAAGAATTTCTACAGGTTGCTCTAGTTTGTGAGAGCAGTAGACAGTGCCCTAACTTGGTGGTTTAAACAGTGAGAATAGGCCAATACCGTGACTACTGGTTATTTAATGATTCTGGGAGGTCTGTCAGGGTCAGATACACTTATGGTGATTTTTAAGATATTTGCATACCAATATCTTGTAAATAAAAAATGTAGTGACAAAATGATATGGTAGTACAATGGAACTACAACTGATAGATGGAAAGAAGGGAATTTCTTCTCCAATTTCCAGACTCTTCTGAAGCTCTTAAAAAATTCTTTTATTACTCTCAAGAGTTCAGGAGAACACATAGGTAGTGTGCTACTCAAAGGCTCGGGTGATGAATGTTGAGAGCCCTGTCTTCCTTGTGCACATCTGCTGGTGTGGATGGGTGGTCCATTCCTTGAGCTCATGGCAAAGCTGCCCTTGGGTTGTCAACCTTGAGGTTGACAAGCATGTCAGACTAACCAGAGGACTTAATGAAATCATGAACCACAGGGCCCAGGGTCACTAAGGACTTCAAGAACTTTCATTTATTGAAATAACCCGCAAACAGAATTACTGTGCCTAATGTTACAAACTCAGACATCCTTGAGACAGGGCAGTATCTTCCACTGCCAGCAAACTTAGCCAGCTGTGGTCTAGCTCACACTAATCTGCTGCAGCTTACCCTGCTGATAAATGAAATTCACAGTTAATCTGGTGAGATACCTAGTTTACAGAAGTTTTGTATTTTTGATTCAAGTAGTTTAAAATATGGAACCCACTACTGTTCAGTGTTCAATTATTTCACTTCAAGATTTGCTTCTAATCTCAAGACTAAGGGATAACATTTTTTAAATGCCTATCAGGAGCCCAGTTGTACCTCTTCTAAGGTCACTGTGACTTGTGGTACAGAATGAAACTTGGTTTTTGATTGTAGCTTGCAAAATGACCCTGTGCTTATCAGTACGATATAAAAACACGAACGAAAGCGGAGAAAAGAGCTGCAGGCAGTAATAAATGCTTTAGCCCAACCTTTTAAGTTTCAAACTAGGGAGTAAGAATCAGACTGGGATCTTTTCCTTTGTAAAAGGATCCTGAACTTTGGCTTGGATTTCACTACTGTAGTAATTGAGTGCTTTTAAAATAGTGACTTAGAAATAACTTGGTCAGTGAAGTCAGCAGCTAGCATACAGTGTGGAGCTCCCTTAAGTGCTGCAAAAGCTCTGCATAATGCTGTATGACACAAAGCAAAATGATAGTGTTTAGTAATTAATATCTGTGGATACAGCAGTTTTCTCATAGGAACAGAGTAGCATTACCCTCCTTCCTAGACACAGTAGCTGAGGTCATTAACGATGTGCATTTTTGCAGTTGGCACTGCTGTGGTCTTGAAGCCTCACTCTTCTTTGAGCTTCACTGTTTTCTAGGGCAAGCATGATTCCCTGCAGTAGCAGTAAACATGTACATAGACTCAGATCCTCACTGATGTTGTAATGCTTGCTGGACAGTCTTGCATTGTATGGTCTTGACTCCTAAATGAATGTTGCCTTGCTTACTTATACAGTATATGGGCGAGGGCTACTAAAAGGAGCCATTTAGGCAGAATCTCTGCATGAAAAACAGGAGTTAAGCTCTTGTGTACATCACTGCTCAGAATCTGACTTGAATTTCTGCTTCAGATCCTCAGCCATGAACAGTAGGGAATGATGGGCACCTCTCTGGGTTCCCAAGCAGGACTGTTAATATCCAAACGAGTGTTTTCTCTAAGCTGTTCTGAGAGAGAAGTTGATTAAGATACGTGTTGGATATTTCTCTTTCACGCGTTGTTTTTCTTGCAAAATCGGAGCACAACTGTGTTGAGATTCTGCTAGCAATATATGGTATATTGTCTTGATCTCCTAACATTTCTCTGAGAATGGAACATAAGGAGGCAGCAGGACTGGTGGACAGCTTTGTATGTAAATGCTGAGAGACTTGACAGGGAAGCAAATTTGAGAACTCTGAGTCAGTGTGAAGTTTATTGAAATCCACAAAGGTGTTTAGGTTCTGTCTGAAGTTTTTGAAATTTCAGAGAAAGATAGGAAGAACAAAATACTCAAGTGAAAGAGGAGGATTCTACTGCAGTTGGTGACTTGCCTGAGTTAACCAGCCTTATGAAGCACCTATCTGAAGCAAACCCCTTGTGAAAAGTGGCTGGTGCACAGGTGATGTTGCCAACTCCTCTGTTCTCACAAGAACTTCTGCTAAGCTGGAGATATTTGTGATGTGTTCCCTTTCTCCTCTCTCAGCCAACACACAAGTACCAGATGTTTGGCCTTGATTATGCTCTGTTTCTTGTTGAGATAGTTATGTGGTGTGTCTCCAGAAAACTCTTTTACAACTACTGTAAAAAAGAATCTGAATACAACTGAATTAAAATAAACTGGACACGGTATTAAGTCTTCATGCCAAAAATCTTTCCTTTAATTGTCAAGAACAAACACCAGGGGAACTGAATAGTTGCAGGGGATGAGTCACTTCGTTGTGAGTCCCTAAAGCCTGAGCTCATTCAGAGTTGTTTGCTTGTGACAGGAGGAAAATTGCATAAGGAGAAGCTCTACAGAGAGGAGGGACCAGCTAAATACAGGCTCAAGCTGAGGATGATGAGTGGGTCATCTCTGACCTACTAAATGAGAAAGTGTAAAGCTGCATTGACATGACTTTCTTCTTTGTTTTGATTCCCACTAATACTAACCTTCAGGTTGCTCACAACAGACCTTCCCATGTATTTGTACAGCAGCTGACCCAGTTCAGACTGGTGCTTCGATGTGGGAGTATCACTTTTTATATGAATTACATAGACTTCATTACTTTGGAGGGGGGTGGATGAGGGGAGAAAGGAAGGGGCTGTTTCTGAAAGTTCAGGATGCAGCTAGAAGAATCAGTGATGCTGCAGCGAAAGAAATGCTCCCTTTTTGAAGTCAAAATCCAAATAAAACAGTAATGTTTTGTTCTCCTCCCTAGTATCCAGCCCGGACTTCATAGGTTGCTAAGAATCTGATAGCGGCGCTTTTACAAATATTTGTCCTCACCTGTCTATGACTTTCAGTAATTCCAATTGCTTTTGATGCAAGAGTTTCTTCCCACCTCTCTACCCATTAGGACACTCACTAATCTTAGTCCCAAAGGTCCATCACTCTGATAACCAAGTCCAATCTTACAACGATGCTCAATACTTTAGATTGCTTTCATCAGACTTGTCTCTGATAGTCAGACTTCTACCTCTAGGAGAGCCTTCCTAAATCCTTTCACAGTTTTCTTCCCTGAACTGCTTTGTAAAGATCCACAGTTATTTTCCTCTCATCAAGGGCTGAGCAAAATGTAATATATTCTACTCTTGAAACTGATCTTCTCTGTTGGTTCATGTAAAATGTGAGTCAGGTCAGTTTGATAGCATTGCCTGGCTGTTTCACAGGAATAATTTCTATTGTAATTGGCCTAAGAAAGGTTTAAAATCTGATTGTTCTCTCCTACACTAATCTTTGTCTTTTTTGATTTTTCCCCTTCAGAACAAGCACTGGTTAATTCGACAAGCAAAGACTCCAATGACTAACTCTTCCATACAGTTTCTTGATGATGCTTATAGAAAGCGGTAAGAATTTTCTTGTTGCTTAAGGTTTCTGATCAGAACTTGTAATTATTTTTTTTTAAAGTGTGGGTTTTTTAAAAAGTTGTAGTAAGTCTGACAGTCAATATCACATTACCTCTAATAGTTCTCTGACATATGTCTCAGCCAACCTGACTTTGTTTACTTTTGGCAAATGAACTTGTCATTGACTTCAGAAATGTTTTATTCACAAATGTTGCCACTATTTATCACAAAAAAGACTGATCACATTTGGGTTGTCCATTGCTTTTCTTTCAATGCACTAGAGATTTTTATTTTAAAAAATGGCCTTACCTTCTACTTCACTTAATTTTGGATTCTTGCATAATGTACATCAAATGTGACTGATCTGTCTGCCAGCTAATCTGATTTATTAACCTCGGCTTGTAGTCTTACATGGGAATACCTGCCTCGCCAAGGGCAGTGCTTGATTCCTTTTTATAAAAGGGGATGTGGGGAGTGATGTCTAGATAAGACTTGTTTCCTGTTTTAATAGAAATGAAGAGCATTTGTTTTGACTGCAGGTCTATTTTCTTTAAAAGTTCTGAAATAAGCATTAGCTTAACTTTAAGTGTTGAACTTTATTTTTAACAAGTTATCAGGCACTTTGGAGATGGAAAACAAAGATTTTTTTTTTTTTAGCCTCTTGCTTTATAAAACCTGAAGGTAAAATTATGCAACAAAATCTTAAATTAAGCCTGGAGGAAACAGCATCCAAGAACTGAATAGCTGTCCTTAATTCAGCATAATATTAGTCTGTGGAAGCAGTCACTTTTCTCAGTGGCAAATCCCAGGACAAAGAAAAAAAAAGAACTGGTAGCTGTTGAAGGCTTTAGATAGCCTGAAATAATGGACCCTGACATTACATGAGTAATACAAAATAGCTGATATAGTTTTCAAACAGAAAGTATCTCATGTAGACAACTGAATTAATTGCAGTCTTGCATTTTAATATTAAACTACATATAAAGAACTAATAGCAAGTGACCTTGCAGGAGATAAGTGGCTCTTTGACACAGTGTTGCCTCAGAGTTGGTCTTCACTGTCCTCAGATAAGAAGTAATCGGTATTTTGGTGTCTACACTACAGACACTACAAAATAAAATTAACAACAACTCAAGACAGTCTTATTTCTTTCTTTAATTGCAGCCTCAAAAAGAACAGTGTAGTAGTCTATGAAGTTTGTTTTCAGAATTTGTAAGCAAAATGATTTAATTACAGCGCATACATTGTTAACTGGAAGCAGGATATGAGTGGCCTACCTGCAGTCAGTTATTCTCAGTTTTTCATACTCTAATATGAAGTGCTTTTTCTGTATAGGTGGCAAACTCTGCTGTCAGTAGATGACCTGGTAGAGAAACTAGTGAAGAAACTGGAACTGAATGGAGAATTAGACAACACATACATCTTTTACACATCAGACAATGGCTTCCACACTGGTAAAATTTTCACTGCTTACTGAATTTTACTCCTTACCAGGAATCTCATAACATTTTACCCTCGTGACCACTCCAGAAAATGGGAACAGCAACTGTGGAAACCTGTAGACATGAGAAGTACTGATTTGAGTTGTAAAACAACCTGGAGTTGCAGCATGGGGTGTTTGGTGATTTTGTAGTTTGATTGGGTTTTGCTTGGTTGTGGTTTTCACCATTAATCTCTACCAGTGTATCCTGGTACACATAAAATTAGAACAGAAATGGAGGAAGGGTCTTTGTGTTCTGTAATAAGAGTTGGCATAAGAGGTAAAAATCTGTCGAAGACCTATCTGTATCATGTTGTACAACTAAAAATGCAGTATGTAAGCTGTTAAACTTTTTAAAATATGGCTCATATTTTGGAGTTGTCTGTTCCTATCCTCCAATTTGTTAATGGAGTTCAGGTTAAGAACCTCTTCTGACTTCTTTACAAATTGTCTGCTGGCAATTATGTGCCCACAGCAGGGGATTTGAAGCTAGGTGATCTTTGAGGTCCCTTCCAACCCAAACCATTCTATGATTCTATGTAAGACAAGACTTGTAAAATGTGAAACAAGAAGTCATTTAACTTTTTCAATTTTTCTATTGTACAGGCCAGTTTTCTTTGCCAATAGACAAACGGCAGCTTTATGAGTTTGATATCAAAGTTCCATTGCTAGTTCGAGGACCAGGGATAAAACCAAATCAGACAAACAAGGTAAGAAAGAAGTGAAATCAACAGTATAGATTTATTTTTAATATTGTTTCACAGTTATCAGCTTCAGGTAATAGTTTATCCTCCTGCATATATATGTGTGTATATATATATATCTCAAATTAAATAGACAGAGTGGTAGAAAGTACAGAGACCTTGTTATAAAAAGCTGTCTGTTCTTGCTTGAATCAGTGAAGTTAAGTACTTGCAAGCTACAAAGTAAATGAATTTTGAACTCGCTTTCCAAAGTACCTACCATTGCTTTTTGAATGTCACAGGGTCCATTAGCCTATAAAGATGAAATTAAGTAGTGTTTAGATGTACCTAAAATTACAAATACTTTTAATACCAAAGTCCTATTATTACATCTGTTAGATTCTGATCTTCTGAAGTTACGTTTTTCTCACTCTGCAGATGCTTGTTGCAAATATTGATTTGGGTCCCACTATTCTGGATATTGCGGGATATGACTTGAATAAAACCCAGATGGATGGGATGTCACTGTTGCCACTGTTGGTAAGTGGATGAACAGGGATAGTAACTGATAATTTTTGCAGGGGTAATTCTTCAAAGTGAATACTACTTCCTTTGATAGACTAGTTTGACTCATAACCCAGATTCTTCCCTTGATATAATTTTCACATGGGATGTTCATGGATTACTGAAAAAAGTAGGTATGTTGTTTAAATGCTTATTTTCATAAGCACTGCAACTTTGCTATCATTTTATAATAGAAAGTTGTATCATCCTTTGGCTAATCCTGCCATTTGTAGTAATTCCTATTTTGAAGCCTGTGAGTTGTTTCCACCTTGCATCCTCCTTCCCCTTTTCATAGCATTTCTCTGCATAGACATAGGAGAAGAGCAGACAGTTCTTACTAAACCTTTAGTTTGACTCCATTTTCAGTAGAACTAGTGTTTCCTGCCAAAGTCTGGAAAAATGCCTTTGGTTTTATAAAGTAAACCTGACCTTTCCAATAGGTGAGCAGAAGCCTATTTAAATAAAGCTGCTTGCAGTTGATCTGTTTAGTTTTAATTAAATTTAGTCTATAAATTGAAGGCAGCTTACTTGGAAAGTAAGCTTGGAAAGATCATCCAGATTTCAAACCATGCTTTGCTTTAAAACCTTGTATCCTAAACCTTAATCCGTTCTTTAGACAGAAGCAGGTAAAAGGCACCTAGTTTAAACTTGGATGGAATCAAAACTGAAAATCATTGTTTTACTGCATATGACTGCATATTAAATTTACAGTTTCATCTTCTTTGTCTTTTAAAATGCAACTACAAATTGACCAGCTTAAAACTTAATTGTTTCTTAAAGGTGTTTATCTTTTCTTAAAGATAAAGGGGTATCTTTTTGCACCTGTTGTAATGTGATATAAACCAAACAGAAACAGCCTTGTTTACAGGTATTGTCTGCAGGATAGTGATATCTGGCCATGTGGCTCCTACTTGGTATTACTGCATGATCCTTTATAAATTGAAGATAGTATTTTAAACCCTCACAAGAAAGTGTACTTATATTTTTGGAATTGAATGCTTGTCTTCCAGTTACACAAGACATTCTAACCTTAAAGTCAGTTATTTAAGACTGACTCTGCCTTGTAAGCAGTGGGAAATGTTAGTATTATACCAAGCATGGAGAATTTATTCTGTTTCATGGTGCAGCAGATAGTAAGTTGTGTTAACCTCTTGTTGTAGAGAGGAGACAAAAATGTCACGTGGAGATCAGACTTCCTGGTGGAGTACCAAGGAGAAGGATACAATGGCAGTGATCCTACCTGTCCCGGCCTAGGACCTGGAGTCACAGTAAGCAAGACAAGATCTGTTAATGTTAGGAAATAGCTGCTGAATTAAACCTATTTGTTGTATGGGCTAACCTGGTTCTGTATGTAATCCAAGTGTCTTGGTAAGCTGGAGCTCTGTAGGTCCTGTGCAGCATTTGAGAATTGGAGGGAGATATCCCAGCCATGTGGAACTGACATCTCCATATGACCATGGAGATCACAGTAACCTTTCAACAGGAATCTATTGGGCCTCAAGGCTGGAGAAAGATGCAGGAAGGTGTGGGCTTAGCCAAGTGTGTGGCAGTGACATAATGTTCTTTCTAAACTTGCAGTGACTTTGTTGCACAAGTCTTGTCTGTGACTATTATTTAAGTCACTAGTTACTCTTTGAATCAGACCAGCTTTGCTTTTTTTAATTTAAGTAAAGCATCCCTTTGGTGTTGTCTTCAGTAGTGTGTTGTGCTATTCTGTTCAGTGTATGTACAGTAGCTTCCTGAACATAAGGCATTTAATCATGGTTAATTTAATAACAACACTTTCTCAAATTCAGAAGAACTGAGTTTTTGCTTAAAATCCCCAGTGGAGACTTGCGTGTGTTAAAATAAGGTCTGTTTGTGGTGTTTGTCAGTTAACTGCTGTTGGCATGAGTATAGTATAGTCTCTAGGAAAAGCATTGCTAGTTCTTCTTTTTCTCCTGCTCTGAAGTTTTTGTTCATTGCTCACTTCACAGCACTGCTTCCCAGACTGCGTCTGTGAAGATTCCTATAACAACACATATGCTTGTGTAAGGACACTCTCAACTTCTTGGGATCTGCAGTACTGTGAGTTTGATGACCGGGAGGTAAGTCTCTGTCTGACTAGCAGATGTCAGCTGTTCACAGCTGTGTGAGTCAGTCTGTACTCTTATCAGCTCTCAAGGTTTCTGGGAAGAACCCTGAAAAGCAGACTAGGATAGACTAGGATTGCTTGCAGGATAAAGTTATCTCCTGGTGAGAATGTTTGACCAAAACAGTAGTGAGGTTCTGGGAAAAAGAAAAAAAAAAAAGAAAAAAAAAAGGGGGGGGGGGGGGGAGGGAAGTGAGGCCTAAACTCTGATTATCACCTTCTGGTTTTACCTAACAGCCTCTCAGGTAGCTTTGCTGGACTGGGTTCAGTTCTCTCTCTTAGGTTAGTTCCATATGGCAGTCTAGTCTCTACAAAATTTTCTGCTCCACTGTACCTCTGGTGTGTTTATATTCAGCTGCAGCTCTTTTACTCATGAAGAACTGAAATTCCAGGCTAATAATTTCTCTTCTATTACTCATTTTTTTGGGGAAAAACATACTTCTTTGGGTATAAAGGACATAGTGTTCCCCCTTTCAGAAACTGTACAGATGTCACTAGGGGAGCACACACTGTACACACAAAAGGTGGTGTTTTACACAGCTGATCATTACTTGTGCCCATTTGCACACAGCTGCTCTATTTCTAGAGCATGTTGGGTTTGAGGCAGCTGGGTCAGAGATCTAACAAACTGCTGTATTGTCAGCAGATGTGCAATAACAGCATGAACAACAGGTATCCCCAGTAATCGTGCACCACAAACACATTTTATGGTGGTCTACAATGAGCAACTTAAACCAGGGGAGTAAATCCCACAAGATGTTTTTGCAGTTAGATAGTGTGAAAAACTATACAGGAGACCAAAATGCCAATTTTGTCCTTTGTTCTTCCACTTTCTGATAACTCATGATCAAGTTAAATAGGTTTTGCAGCTTTCTTGGTAAAAGTAGACTCCAAAGTTGATTGAATAATACTCTGCATGTCCCTTTGTTTTTTTTCTACTGAGGAGGTGTGGCTGTGGCATTTTTGGGTCACTGCTTACCTGGGTTAGCTAAAGTAAGACCAACAGTATTGGGAAGGTGGAGCAATGTGACTTTTCTAACCTTGCAGTGAACCTTGTAAGAAAGCCTGCAGCCAAAGTCTGTCCAGATATGTCTTTATCTGTGTTAGACACAACTCAGCCAATTTTTATCGATATCATCTGCAGTCAGGCCTCCTACTCTAGTACAGACAAAACTGCAGCTGAATTCTTGAGATATGTTTGACCAGTATTTGTCCCACAGAATGGTCTAGAGATTCAGTGTCCCAAAAAACAAATCTGCCCTAAAATCCTCCAGACAAACCTCAAAGCACACGCATGCAGAATAAGCTTTTCTCTTTTATGGCTATAGCATACTTGTGTTCAGCATATTTTGTACATGAAGTCAAGACACCTGTTTGGGTCTGACATCTCTTAAGTATCTGATGAACCTAGAATGGTGATGTGATAGTTGTATAATTGTGCATTTTGAGATTTGTTAGTAAAAAGACAGCCAGCTTAGCCTTGGTTTCTTACTGTGGTCTTACAGTCATAAGACAGGTTCCGTTTATGTGTTGGAGAAGAATCTGCAGTGAAGCAGGCAAGTCCTTCAGGTGAAAGTAAAAACTTTTCCAACAATACTGTGCTACCTCAGCACTTCTGCTTTGCTCACACAGTTTTTGACCACTTAGCTGCATGGCTAAACATACCTTATGTGTGGGGCTGCTGCAGTGGAGCTCAAAATGACATTTAGACTGTGTGCTGCTATAAACCATTTTTCCCAAATAATATTACTAAATGTTAATTAGCATTCAGGACTTAATACAGTGCAAGAACTCTCTTCTACAGGTGTTTGTGGAAGTGTACAACTTGACTGCAGATCCACACCAGATCAATAACATTGCTAAAACAATTGATCAAGAAATTCTAGAAAAGATGAACTATCGATTAATGATGCTGCAGTCCTGTTCAGGAGCAACCTGCCGTACACCAGGTGTCTTTGATCCCGGGTAAACACTGCTCCACTTAATTATTATAACACTTTTAAATATAAGTATATATTTTTTAATTTAAGCTTTTATAGAGGGTATTTCTGATGGAATATATTATTATTGATGTAAGTACTGATGTTTAGTAGAGACGTTTTCTTGATGCTTCTATTTTTTTAATGCTTAATCTCTATTTTAATTTAACTTACCAAATATAACTTCGATGGTATGAATACCACTACTTCAGTGTTGTCAGCCATTGTTGACTTAGAACAGCTGAAGCGTACAGCTGTGCCGAGTAGTCAGAGACAGTGACCTTTGGTTTGCCTGCAAACCAGGAAAAGCTTTTTTAAGCACTATTTAAAATGTCCTTACAGCTACAGAAGTTTGTAATTTGGGGCAGTAAAGCTTTCTGTTAGAATGCAGCTCCTGAATGTTTGTTACACGTGCCTGAGGGCTGTTGGTACATTGTAGCTAGTATTTGTCTTTGGAGACCATCCACTCCTTGGTTGCCTAAGACTCCTTATAGACAGAGATTGTTGCTACTGCATACAGCTGAGAAAGCAACTACTCACATAGCCTTGTACCAGAGCTATTCTAGCAATAAGCTTTTTCTAGAAGGGCTGGTCACGCTGCAGGACAAGGAGCTCACACTGACCGTTCCTTCCTATAGGTACAGGTTTGACCCACGGCTCATGTTCAGCAATCACGGCGTACGCGCTCGGAGGTTTTCTGCACAGTCCTTATAAGACCATCGAGAGCCTCTTGCAATCAGCTCCTACTGACCAGTTTCTCCAGTGGCTGCAGCAGGTCTGTCTCTGTTAATTCTCGCTGATCACAGCTGGAAGACTTTTAATGGGTTTTTCAAACCCTGTTTGGAAGAAAACCCCTTGTCTTTAGCTGGTTGCCTTGTGCAATATGTATATTTTACAGCTGAACTCTAACTGTAAATTGTTAGACACAGCTAATCTGTCTTGCTCAAATAGTTGATTATCACCTTTGTCTTTCAAATACCTTTTCATATCACAGGCACAGAGGTGAACCTATGCCTATGAATCTGAACCATTTATTTTGTTCTAAAAAAATCAATAAATGCATATTTGAGTCAGGTTAGATAGGCAGGTGCTATTGCACAGTAATGCTCACCCATATTCAGTGTCATAGACTTTCTTAAGAGCTATGTTTAATTATAGGTTTCCTGCATTGAGCTCAAAGCTGTTAATGACAATAGCAAACTAGCCCAAAATAGAGTAGGAAGGCATTAGTCAAAACTGTAGGATCTGACTAGCAAGTGTCTTGTGCAGAATTAAAATCTGTTTGCTAAGGAGTCTCTTTCAATGAGACAACTTCAAATGAGACCAATGAATTTTGTAGGACAGCTTTGGTAGCTTGCAAACAAGAATGTAATGTCAGGCTCCTTTCAGTTTGAAATGGTGGAACGGGTTACTGAAAAAACTCCTAGGGTTTAGGATAGGCTTCCTAGTGAGTTTAAACAAGAGTGTTGAGGCTAGCAAGTACTGAAGTAAGTGTGCCTGTGCTTTGAGCTAACTCTTAAGTCTGTTTTTAATACACAAACAGAAGTAATACTAAAATAAACAAAATCCAACAACCAGGGCACCACAGTAGAGTTGATCTGTTTCTAACCTCCAAATGTCTTGAATTGTCTAACATCTTATGTTGATTAGATTTTTGAAGGTAATTTATTTTGAAAGCAAACTAGCTAAAAGTAAATCACAAAATCATTGCTCACTAGACATTAGGCTAAGAGAGGTATTTTAGGCAGTTTAGGTTCTTCACAGTGTTGCTTTTTGGTTGAGACATGACTATTTGGAACCTGAAATAAAGTGGCCTTCACACCAAAGGTCTGCATGTCAGAAACCACTTAAGTTTCCTTCTGACAGAATGTTGTCTTTTCAACCTTCTGATTAGGCTTATTTGAAATACAGCTGTCACATGCACCCAAACTTGAGTATCTTTCTAAATCTTGAAAAACATCCAAACTTGCATTACTGTACAACTTCTGTAAAGATTCATTGGCAAAACACTGTCTGGAAACACTGAATTGTGGATCTTCTGCGAGACAAGTTCCTGTTGCTTGTGGGCAAATAAACTGTGTTATCAGCAAGATAATTGTTCCCTTGTCAAACAAAGTGTGGCAGAATTATTTAGTTTTCAGTTAGTTATTTCACATCTCTTACCCCGGTAGAGAGCATGACTATTTCCACTTCTGTCACATACTACCTTGTCATAAGTAATCATTAAGTAGTCAACAAAGTATGACTCTCAGAACTGTGAAAGTGCATACCCCAGTGTGCAGATCCACCAACTGGATACAAGCAATGCTACAATAAAACACGTTGAACTTTCTTGGCTTTTAATTCTGAGGCACAGAAGTTGTCTTTTCTGTAGCTTATATGTGCAAACTTCTGTGGTGGTCTCCAGGTTAGATATTATAGAGCTTGTGTTTCAGATCTCTTAAAGTGACCAAATATTTTGAGGGGGAAAAAAAATTGCTTGAAAGGTAACTTTTCAGCTGGAGCATCTCTGAACACAGAGGTTTTTGGATATTCAAACTACTTCCATGCTTTCAAATACTCAGGACTTTTCCTTAACTACAACTATAGCTTTATCCTGTTTTATTGTTTCTTAAGCCTTAGCATTGCCCATTGGTATCCTTCATAAACTGTTTTGTCTTTAGAAAAAAACCCAAAGTTGTTTTCAAATGTTCTCTTGCACACTGAGCTAAACCTAAAGCTCATGTTTGTAGTGTTTTGCTCAGAGAATTCTAGCAACTTAGACTTGTTCTTTGTTTAAACTTTGTTTTGGTAGCTGTATGGAGGCTGGTGTGAAATACATTGCTGCACATTAAACCCTCAACAGTTCTAGCAAATCTGGGTCATATGTCAAGTTTCTGCTTGAATTCAGTTGTAGTTCAAGTAATGTGTATTCTGTTGCTCCTTAATAGAAAACAACTTTGTTATGGGTACAGATGTGTAACTCTAACACAGTCTTTTCTTAAAGTAATCTTAAGCCATAAGAAGGAAACTTTCTTTTGAAATTATTTACTTTTTGCCTAATAAGTAATATGAAAATTGACAGAATTGATGCAGATTATTCAGTATGAGTAACCAGATGCTTTACCCAAATTAATACTCTTGCTATCTGCACATACCTGTAAAGCATTTTGTAATGAGGCTCAATAACTGTTGCCATAAATAACAGCCTCAAATGAACAGTGTTAATTCTTATCTTTGATTAAAAAACCACTATGAAGGAACTTTGACTCTTACTCAGATCTAATTCCCAGCTAAGTTATTTTAAAACTAAATGGTCTTTTGGGATATTCCATTTCATGTGCTATTTGACTATGGCTGTACCTGTACCTGGTTACTGAAGGCATCCATGTTAAATGTACAGTTTTAAATAAAGGGCCTTACTGGTACAGAGTTGGGTTTAGATAAAATGTGATTTTTTTTTTTACTTTTTTTAAAATCATTAGTAGCGAAAGTAGAGCTGTGAATCTTTAGTGATCTGATCTGGTAAGGTAGATACCATACAGGGAGAAATGCAGTTAATAACTTCATTATGTTACCCTAAACCAAAAAACATTCATTATCATCACTTCAGCATAAGGAAATACAGCTAATACATGCTTACCCAGCATGGGCCCAGTAAACTGGACTTCTTTTTGAGGAATAAAGCTGTAACAGGGACGCATACATGGAAGCACGCAGCCAAAGCAGCTTATAATACCTTTTCAATGAAGTTAAATTTGAGACTGACTTAACAAGCTGAATACAATATTTCAACATAATGAAACAGCTGTCATTTGTTGTGATTCAATTGATTTTCTTTGTATTACTCTCTCTGTATGTGAGCATACTTTGCTGTAGCATATTGTGAGCATATTTCTGCTGTTTTGAACGTCTGTTTAGAAAGTGCCCTTCCAGAGGACCCTGTTCACTGCTGCACTTTTGGAGAAAGAAAAAATAAACTGCCTCTCAAACTTCCTAACTTTGTTACTGAGCTTGAGTTAAACCTTTCTGCAGGACTAAGCTGTGTCACATGTCTATAAGGACTGAATTCCTGGTTTATAAGCCTATTCTCTGCTTTACTGCCCTGCTGCCTAACAATGGCTACTTCACAGGGAACTGTATATACAGCATCTAGCAGGACAACACCTGACTACTTTGCATCAGGAAGAAACACCGAGGTGAGAGGACAAATTGAAATGGCAACTGTACTTGCTCAGAGTTCCTTGGAATCTGATATAGGTGAATAGATGGAAAACTACCAAAAAGCACAATGGAGAAACTGCTGTTCATAATTAAGAGCAGTGTATTCTGTCTGTGGGAAAGAGGAAGAATAAAATCACACATAAAGGCTTTTTCCAAAATGGGAACTGTGAGCAACAGCAAGATAAATGCTACTTACTTACCTCAATCCCTGTTAGAGAGTTGAATTTCTTGAATCATTCTGTTTAAAAATACATACATAACTACAGAGGAAGGTGATTTGGTACACCTTCAACCTATTTAAGTCTGAGGCTTTCACAAGCTACTAAACCAAGTATTTCTGCATTGTATTTGCATTTCTGCTTAACCGTTTCTCCTTCAGCAAGGAGGGTAGGAGTCTTCCATCAAGTAGACAAAAATATTTAAGGGCTGCTTGAAAAAACCATTTTTTTCTTTTGATGTTCCAGCTTATAAAAACTATAAAGTTCACTCTACCACAAGTAAAGGTAGCTCTAGACAGACTTTCCCACAGTGCTCAAAGACATCACTTACAGCCCAAGTGAGGATACCATCAGGGGTACAGAAGCTGCACAATGTCTCCTTTGTCATTAATTTCTAAGAACAAGCCATGTTTGTGAAGAAAACTGCTGCTACAAGCTAAAGAAGTCACCTGTTTTAGAAAAAAAAATCCAGTGTTAATACTTCATTCAAGAGGTGGGGCAGGGGAATTCCATGATTAGGAAGAAAGGGCACTGCTAATATATTGCTTTCCAGATGTTGCTGTAGTCAGATTCAACTCTCACTTAATCTTTTGATAAAACCCACTGGACTATTGTCTAAAGCTGGAGTTCAGTAATTGCTCACAAATCTCAAAATACAGTCAGTGCCTGTTTGCTCAAGGTATGGAAGTTGTTTGAACTTATACCAGCTGCCAAACCACACCCCTTTTCTAGAAACAGGAATAAGAGTGACTTGACACAACACAACTGAATCATCCACTTCAGCATTTTTCCTGTGCAAGTTCTATGGAAAAGCCAGCTCCATGACTCTTGCTGGGCAAGAATGACTTTGCAGACTGCTCTGGGTTGGCAGCAAAGGCATCAAGGATGGGACTAAAGAGTCACAGAGATATTCTCATACTGTTGATGAGCACCAGTTGAAAGCATAAGCAGAGCATACATGGTCTGCTTTATTGGTTCTGAGGGTTCTGCCACATTATCAGCCAGCTAAAATGTTAAGCAGATGAAAGGAAAACATTACAATGACTGATCCAAAACAGGAAAGCAACCCTTCTCCTAGGGCATAAAAATCATAAGCAAAAAAAAAAAAAGGGGGGGTTTTTTGAGCTGTCATGTTTTGGTTTGGTTTTGAACCACCAAAATAACACCAAAAATGTGTAAGTTTGCAATATTGCACTTGGATACCTGCTTAGCAGTGTTTTTAATCCTCTGCTTTTAAAGTATTTAGATTAACAAGGCAAAAACCTCACTAAAGTATTCAAATCTTTCGACATGGTAGCGTGATTCCAATGCTTCTCTGTAGAGTACCAAAGGAAAAACAGGCAGTGATTAAGCCCCACCTTTAAAAAACAGCACCCTCCTACCTTTTGGCTTCTCCAGGCTTTGAAACAGTACAATGCACGTGACCAATCCTAGACTTACTGTGCAACAAAATATGCTTTTGGTGTAAAGTCTCAACTGCCTGGAAACATTTCTCTGATTTGTCTTTAATTTACACGGATTGAACTAAAGTAGACATTGTTTTTTAATGTGTCTCTTGCATTTTCAGTCAGCTTTGTTTACAGTTAAAAATGAGTGCTCTCACTCAGCAATAGGTGTTAAAAGATACTCTGCACAACCTCTGCTGCCTTTCTGTGCCAGTGTTACTAAAAACCCAGAGGTTCTGATTGTGTCTCACAAGCACTTAAACCAGAGCAGATAAACAGATACAAAAATGTCTAACATTTGCTCACACACATCTATGGAAAAATGGTGTGGGCAAAGAGCAGAGATTTTGAAAATATCAGTTGACAGATGTAGAGTAAAAGAACTGTCTAAGATTACTGGCATATGGAAAGCACCTGTTTATCCAAAGAACTTCAGAGCCACTGTTCCAATACAACTACTTTGCCTGGTAAAAAACAAGAGGCTGAACTTCGGTGTCATAAAATATACTGGTGTTCTAATGCCTCCCAAGGCACGTTGAAAACAGCTGAAATTTCTGATCACATACCAGATTCTGTATTTAAAGAGAGAAATCTTAGACTTGCTATTTTATCTCATGCTATGCACAAGGCTATGGTGCTATTTTTAGGTTTACAGAGCTAGTGCAAAGGAAGGAGGCTTTGCACTTTACTACAACTACCCACAAGAGAAGTCAAGTGAAGGCAAACCCGAACTCCTCTACTTATCCATAATATCCTGTCTTACTCATGTGGAAAACACACTCAAGAAAAATAGGACTAAGGCAGTACTTCATACAGCATCATGAAAGATGTTAGATTTGGCAACACTGACCATTTGCAGAATTAATCCTTCTAAAAGACAATTTTTAAAAGCACCTTTGAGGAAAGCAGGAAGGAAACAGCTTTGAGAAGGCATTTGCTAGTACTGGGTGCCTTAGTAGAAGGTGCTGAGCTGGGTCCCTTCCAGGCCTCCACTGTTGCAACTGAAGGCACTTTTAATTTGTTTGCACAATGGCAAAAAAGAACATTCCAGATGATTAGCTCTCATCTCAGTAGCACACAACACAAGGTGTTCTTTCAAACATGTCCTGGCCTACGCAGTATTTCCTTGAAAAACACCACAAAACTAGCTCCAGCAGTGACGCTGGGTGTCTGAGCTGCTTGCTCAAACTGCTCTGGACTGGGAGTTGCCTACTAACTACTGCAGGAATCTCTTCTATCTCCTTACACATCAAGAGGAAAATCATTCCTCCAGAACAGGTTAGTCCTCAGTTCACAGTACTAAACCTGTGTTCTAAGCAGCAGATCACAGTGTGTCAGTGATCTGTGTCGAGCCTCTATTTGGCTTGAACTTTCAACACAGTCTGTGCTTGCATCACGCTCTGGGTTGTTGGAGAGATGTAAAACACGAGCCCTCTGCTTCCCACAATCTGTAAGGTTCCTGCACCTACCATTTTGCCACCTCACTGCCAGGCAACCAAGATGAATTACATGGATAGGTAAGGAGAGATTTTATGTTACAGTGAAAAGTTCTTTCATATTCTGAGCTGCTTTAAAAATACGTTTTTGAGAACTATGCAGATTTTAAAACAACTCCATTTGCCCTCCATCCGGATGGATGATCCTACTGCTGAACTACACAAAACACAAGAGATTTCTCTTGCCAAGTTGTATTTCTAGTAGTACATAACTGCCGTAGACAGAGCCACGAGCCCAAGTTACTTGTGTGGTCAGGAACTTGGCTGACTCTGCTGTCTTTAAGGCCTTTTATCCATCTCAGCCTGGCTGAGTGGTGGACTATTTGCTATTAACTTGGTGTTACCAAGTGCATACACAGTTGTAACGCTGGTGTGTTGCACTTACTGAGCTGCGAGGTCTCATATAAACCAGCCTTCAAGGCACTGGCTGAGCCACTACCTTCTCCTCTGCCGCAGGGCTGCAGTGCCCAGGGAAGCGCCACAGAGACCGAGGTGAGCAGCACAGCAGCTCCCTTCTACCAATTCAGTTAGGGAGGATTAAACTGGTTTTGAAATCAAAAAATTAAGTACCACGAAATTAAGCATATGTTACTGGTGGAAATTAAAAATGCATTAAAAATCAGGAGTGAAATGCGTTTCCTGTGAAGCGCAGAGCAGGGGTATCGCCTCCAGCCTTGCTGTATTTGCCTCGTGTTTCTGTGAGCTATTTTTTTATAGAAGGAAACTACTGGCCCGTGGGTTTTCCCACCCAGCACCACTGTGTGCCCACGGCTGCACTCCTTCTATGGCAGATTGGCTCCATGAGGGGATCTGAAAATCCTGCCTTTGTGAGGCAAAACGTGGTGGCCCCACTGCCCTTGGCTCCCTTCCTCTTCTTCCAGGCAAACCTTAATTTACAGCTGTATCTGCCCACAGGATTTGTTGCTGCTGTACAAGGAAATCCATTTGGCTTCAAAGCAGTCACAACACCAGCATCAGGTAAAGGAAAAACCACACGCCACGAAACTAAGTATTGCCAACTTCAACTTTAATAACTGAACCATCACTTTTTTGCCATTTCAGTAATAACTTTAAGGGGAATAAAAACTTCCCTACAAAAATAAAACTAAGCTTGTCAAAATTATAAATAGTTTAAATGTTTGTATTTAAAGACATACATTTTAATGTTTCCCTGCATTCCCCCTCCCCCTACCATTTAATCATTCTGGTACCATCATATAATGACATGAAAACAGTTTTGCAACAAAAACTTTGATAGTTCAATTTGATGCTAAAATTTTAAAAAAAAACCATAAAACTGACAAGGCATGACCATTTCTTTAAAATTAAAGCTGCTGTAATTGCCAGTGTGTAGAACAAAAAAGAGAGAAGTTAACCCCACACATGACATCTTAAAATAATTAACTGTGGACTAAGACAAAATTAAAATATAAGTTTATTTTGGTCCCCCACCCCCGTCCCCTCCACCCCAAATCAAGACTCATAGTGCATACAACACTGATTGAGGTTTTTGGCTAAAGTAAATGCAGATGTGCCTACTTAAAAGACTGATAGTTTAGTTCAAGTAAAACCAAAAAATTCACATATTTTTATACTCCACTTTTAAACTCAAA